AAAGCTTCACCTATAAAAGCTTCAGCACAAAAGCTTCACCCACAAAAGCTTCACCCACAAAAGCTTCATCAATGGAGGACAACTACAAATTCTGAAAAGCACTATCTTGATCAAGATAGTGTGAAGCAAAATCAATTCATGGTACCCAACAAAAGCTTTAACTCCAAAGCTTCACCTACAAAGCTTCAACTCCAAAGCTTCACCTACAAAAGCTTCAACACAAAAGTTTGACCCACAAAAGCTTGACCCATAAAAGCTTCACCCACAAAACCTTCACCTACAAAAGCTTGACCCACAAAAGCTTGACCCACAAAACCTTCACCCATAAAACCTTCACCCACAAAACCTTCACCTACAAAAGCTTCACCTACAGAAGCTTGACCCATAGAAGCTTCACCCACAAAAGCTTCACCCATAAAAGAAAGCTTCACCCACAAAAACTTCACCCACAAAAGCTTCACCCATAAAAGAAAACTTCACCCACAAAAACTTCACCCACAAAAGCTTCACCTACAAAGCTTCAACACAAAAGCTTCACCTACAAAAGTTTCACACTATCTTGATCAAGATAGTGTGAAGCAAAATCAATTCATGGTGCCCAACAAAGCTTCAACCTCAAAGATTCACCTACAAAGCTTTAACACCAAAGCTTCACCTACAAAGCTTAAAAAATATATATATATATATATATATATATTTTCGAAAATTCAAAAATTCGAAAATTCAAGAATTCGAAATTTTGAAAATTCGAAGAAAAAAAATTGCCTAGGCCTCCTATTCTTTGGGCTTAACAACTTTCATAACAAATATACATGAAGAAGGAGTTTTGGGCTACCACTTAGAAAGGAAATGCCTCATTCGTCAACTCCCTCGACCGGAGACTTGGGGGACACCTACCATATGCTACTGCACCTTGATACTCAGAAGTCTCACGACCACTCAGTGACTTGGATTTTTCAAGTCTCCAACCGACAAGTTTTCCTCACTCGGGAAATTAAGGGAGCACTACCTCAACTTACATGCTTCACTCTCAAAGGTTCAACATACAAACTTCAACAAAAGAAAAAATTCAAAGAACCTAGTGAAGAAGGCCTTGGTGTATTTAACACAATACGTTGAAATAAAGCAAAGCTTGTTTATTGATATCTCCGATAAGTTACAAATATGTACATATACATGAATCAAAATAAACAAACAAGAGGGAACCTTCACAAAGGTTGCTCATGAGAAGTCTCAGCAGTCGGCAGAGCCCCAGAAAGAATAGGCACCATAGGGTGATCATTCGGAGCCTCAGTAGTGGGCAGAACCCCCCCAGAAGAAGGAGGCACCAAAGGTTGATCATTCAGAGCTTCATTACGTGGTACAGCCTCAGAAGACGAAGGCAATAAATGCATTTGGAACAAACCCACAAACCTCTGATGATCAAGCAAAATCTGACCATCAGATTCCTGCAGCTAGTCAAGCTTCCTCTTCATGTTTGTAGCATAGTCATGTGCGAGCCTGTGCAACTGTTTATTCTCATGCTTGAGCCATCTGATCTCCTGTTTTAGACTTATCACTTCAGCCGCTAATGATTCAACTTGGCGGGTTCGAGCAAATAGGCGTTAGGCCATATTAGACACAGATCCTGCACACTGAACACTAAGATCCAGAGAATCCTTAACAGCCAACTTATCGAACCGTTTGGAAAGTAGTCTGTTATCTTTGGGAGTAAGAAGGTTCCTAGCCACCACCGCAGCGGTCATATCATTCTTCATCACAGAATCCCCAACGATAAGATGACTAGTAGGGGATAAGAAGGATGGGCGCCATATGTTGTCTTGAGAAGGCATGGCTGCCTCTTCACCAAAGTCCAAGTCAACACGACGGTCGGATGGGCCAGACATTCTCAGAAATGATGAAGGAGAAATGAGGTGCAATAAATCTCTGAAGTAAAGGGAAAATTCCTACAAGCAATAACTCTCTGAATGTACTTCTTGCACACAATTTGTGCCCTTATAAAAGAAAGGGCAACATGGTCGTTGGTTCAAAAATCGAAGAGGCACCACTTTCCACACGCAACATCAGCTCCTCGGGTACCACAGATAACTTTGCCAAAGATCTCTGACAAATTTTAGACACATAAATTTTGATGGTCCAGCTACCCTACTATTACACACAAGGGTAAAGGAACAACACCACTGCTTGATAACTAGAATGTGTGGCAACATCCGTGCTCCGTGGCAAGGCAGACTGGCAAAATGCTCAACCTTTACTCACATTCGAGAAAACACTCCCAACAAGATTGCTTGCTCAAAAATCGAAGAGGAACCACAATCCGAATCTCGAGAACCAGACTCCTAACATGATTACTTTCTCAAAAATCGAAGAGGCACCGCTCTCTGAATCTCAAGAGCATACTCCCAACAGGATTGATTTCTCAAAAATCGAAGAGGCACCGCTCTTCGAATCTCGAGTGCCAGATCCCTGATAGGATTGCTTGTTCTAAAACCGAAGACGCATCGCTCTCCGAACTTCGAGAGCCTGATTTCCTTGGATAAAGCTTGTCTGCAACTTCACATGCAACATCAGCTTTCCAGATACCACATACCACTTTTTCAAAGTGCTCTGACAAAGTTAAAACACGTGAAGCTTGCAGCTCCCACTACATTACTATGACCAAGACGGGTAAAGGAATAGCATTACTACTTGTTTTTAGGGATATGTCGACCTTCATCCTCCACGAACAGGCAGACCTGCAAAAATGCTCAATCCTTCCTCATATCTGAGAGGGCGCTCCCAACGAAGCCTCTCGAAATACTCAACTTTCTTCCCCCCCAATAATACCTATGCAAACCAGCCACACCAGAGTAAGAGTATCTCATATCATCAGGGTCAAAAGCAAGAGTATCTCATATCATGCTTTTTCCCTGTCTTTTCCTTTGCCCTTGTTCTTACCTGCAAGACAATGAGAAAGAGAGTAATCAGTCAGCACTTGGAATCAAGCTTCTAGTCAGGAACTGACTGCCTGGAACCCCTTGCCCGATTACTTACCTGGCATTGCTCTCAAGTACTTATCTTTAACATCTTATGCTTCCAGAAAAGATATCACATATGCCTGAGGAACAGATAGGGCAAGTGAGAAGGATACAAGGAAGCATGTGGAGACAAGCGCAATAGAACACATGTCGATTCATCTATTACTTCGTCAACAGCAAAAGTATCCCATATCATCAAGGTCAAACGCACTCTTGATTTGATGAACTTGTTTTGACCCTCAAATTCTTGAGTCAGCCTTATACTCTGGAGGAAACCAGAAAACCCTCCAGCCCAGTTTAAGAATAAGCATGTGGAAAGTTACTTCTTCAAAAGTAAAAGTATCGCATATCATCTCTTCTCCATTTGCTTCTCCTTATCCTTGTTGCTGTTTACGACACAAGAAGAAGGAGAACAATCAACCGGAAGCCGAAATCGAACCTCCAATCCAGGTTGCCTGCTTGGAAGTCTGATTGCTTACCTTGTCTGTTACCTCATTCAGTAAATCTCTTAGCTCGACGACTTGGGGGACTCCTACTATAGGGTTTTGTATCGCATTTGACCAAGCCTGAAACTACAAGTAAGCTTCAAGTGAAATTGATACATTACCTTGTGCATCTTAATCGGTTAAAGATACCACCCCTGGATGGAGGAAAAGTACTTCGAGAGAAGATGCCACATCTACGTATGAGACACATAAGGCAAGTGAAAATGATACCACACTTCGGTACTTAGAAGTTTCGTGATTACTCAATGGCTTGGATCTTGCAAGTCCCCAACCGAGAAGCTTCCCTCACTCGGGAACTTAGGGGAGCACTGTTTGTACCATACTTGACCAATCCCGAAACTACTGAGCACCGGTCAACGTTATACCGTCAAGGACCTAGAAGAGTTCCCTCCAACCAGGAGGCCAATCACAGCGCGACACGTGTCGACATCAGAAGCCAATCATAGCGCGACACGTGTCAACATCAGAAGCCAATCACAACACAACACGTGTCAATGTCAGAATGAAACTAGAAACTCTCTTCTATAAATAAAGATCATTATCTCACAATATTTCCTAATGTCATTTGTACTAAATCATTCACTAGTACTCACAAAATGAGAGCTTGAACCTATGTACTTGTGTAAACCCTTCACAATTAATGAGAACTCCTCTACTCCGTGGACGTAGCCAATCTGGGTGAACCACGTACATCTTGTGTTTGCTTCTCTCTCTATCCATTTACATACTTATCCACACTAGTGACCGGAGCAATCTAGCGAAGGTCACAAACTTAACATTTTCTGTTGTACCAAAATCTTCACTGATTTTGCGCATCAACAATTTTAATAAAACAATATTCCAACTATCTTTCCATTACCCTATGATATTTTAATAAAATAACTAGCATTTGCCTATACATTTTGTGTGTATGAATACATTTTTTTAGAAAATGAGAAGGAGGGAGGGAGAGAGAGAATGTGGGGGGGAGTGACAGGTTTTTTTTTTTTAATTTTAAATATTAGAGATATTTTAACATCACCTATAGGTGAGGCTTCAATAAAAAACAGTAAAATTTGGATTTGTGAAATTACATTATTGCCCATCATTTTTTTTGTGTGATAGAAGACTAAATAATCTTTTTACCCTCTTTTGGTTGACAAAGAGAGTTTCATTAATTAGTAGAGATATTCCAACAAAAACAACTTAACAATTTTTCTTATTAGAATCCAATAAAAAGTTTTTAAAAAAAAGGATGCCAAATAAGAATAAAAGAATCACTTTATTTTAGCCAAAAAAACATAAAAGTCCTTACTATATTAACCGCCTAATGAGAATAAAGGGGAAAAATAAAAATTAATTGGGCTCTAATTAAATAAGGGGCCTATTTAGCATATTCTTAACCGTTTGGGGCCCACAAACAAAAACATAAAATTCGCACGTACAAGTAAGCTTAATTAGCGAAACCCTAACTCATTCGGTATCACATTCACGTAGACCCTCGCGCACCCTGGGGAAATCGATGGCGCGTAGAACAGAGGCGGCGACGACGGCGATGAGAAGCAGCCAATGGAAGAGGAAGAGGAAGAGGGAGCGGATGTCTACGATAAGGTACCCTGTACCCTCGCGCCTCTATATATATACGAGGCATTAGGCGTGGGGTTTCTTGAGGAATAGCCAAATCACACAAACCCTACGAAGAGCCGAGAAGTACGAAACCCTAGACGAAGGCAATGAAGCGCCGCGGAAGAGAAAACTCGTTCTACGAACAGGAAGAAGATCCAGAAGAGGCCCTTTTTGACGACGAAGACGGAGAAGAGAAGGAGGAGGAGCGACAAGGAGGAGGCTCTGATCGTAAAAGGAGGAGATCGGATCGCAGAGAAGATTTCGCATCGAAATTTTTGGATATTGAAGCCGAGGTCGATAGCGAAGAGGAAGACTATGAATCTGAGCCCGAGGACGACGGCTTCATAGCCCAACCTGGCGACGATCCAAACCCGAGTGATGGAGAAGACGATGACGACGTTAGAAGGGCGAAACACGGTCGGCTGTTGTTCCCGGAGGAATTGGAGTCGGAGGAAGATATTGAAGAATTAGAGAGAAGAGTTCAGGGGCATTTTGATTCTCACCAAATTCAGTTTGATGATGGTGATGATGATGATGAAATTGGGCAGCAAGCTCGGTTGCCTTGCGTAAGGGACCCGAAATTGTGGATGGTCAAATGCGCGATCGGGCACGAGAGAGAGGTTGCTCTCTGCTTGGCGCAGAAGTGCATCAATAAAAAATCAAATCCATCTCATATGATCAGGTCTGCAATTGCTCTTGATAATCTGAAAAATTACATATATGTTGAGGCAGACAAAGAAGCCCATGTGAGAGAAGCTTGCAAAGGCATGCGCTATGTCTTTACTGCCCAGAAAATTGTTCTTGTTCCTATTAAGGAGATGGTAGGTGTCGTTTCTGTGGAGAGAAAACCCTCCGTTGATGTTTCGGTGGATAGTTGGGTGAGGATGAAGAGGGTAAAGATGTATGAAGGGGACCTTGGCAGGGTTGTGGATGTGGATGATGTGAGGAGGAGGGTTACGGTGAAATTGATTCCAAGGATTGATTTTCCAGAACTTGCGAGGAAATTGGAGGGACTAGGCCTACAAAAGAAGAGATTTATTCCTCCTCCTGCACGGTTGATGAACATTGATGAAGCTGAAAGAGTACTGGCGATTCAGGTAAAGGAGACAAGAGATCGGGAGACGGGTGAATACTTTGATAAGATTGGTGACATGAAGTTTAAACATGGGTTCTTGTATAAGACCGTGGCAATGAGTTCGATCAGCTGGCATAATGTAAATCCTACTTTCGATGAACTTGAAAAATTTAGAAAACCTGCAGGGAATGAGAATGCCGATCGTGGCGATGATATGTTTTCGAACCGATATAAAGGAGAGTTTATGAAGGGTGATGCAGTTGTGGTGCTGAAGGGAGATCTGATAAATTTGGCGGGGAGGGTTGAGAAGGTTGAGGGAGGGAATGTTCATATGCGACCCGACATGAAAGGCCTTCCAGAAACTCTTGTGATAAACAAGAACAATCTTTGCAAGTACTTTAAAATTGGGAATCATGTGAAGGTTACATCTGGTAGTCAGAAAGGTGCTGCTGGCATGGTTGTGAAGGTTGATCAGCAGCATGGGCTGGTCACCATTATAACTGATAAAACCAAGAAACATGTTTGCGTGTTCGCTGACGATGTTGTGGAAAGTTTTGGTGCTACTGGTGATGATGCAAATGGTGTTTCTAGTTTCTCAAGATTTGGCCATTACAGAACTCCGAGCAAGTTTTCTGGAGGTCGAAGAAGAGGGCCTGATGCTAATGGTTTGGATGCAGGGACTAGGGTGAAAATTCGGCAGGGTGTTTATAAGGGCTACCGCGGTCGTGTTGTAGAGGTCAAAGGACAAAATCTGCTGGTAGAATTAGAGTCCCAAATGAAGATTGTCACAGTTGATCGTCGAAGTTGTGTTTCTGATTCCGATAACTTTGCCGCGTTTGGAACACTGTATCGCTATGGCAATGGCATGAGAGGGACTGAGACTCCGATGAGAGATCCCAGAGCAACTCCGCTCCATTCGTTCATGACTACTCCGATGAGAGATCCTAATGCAACTCCGCTCCATTCGTATATGACGACTCCGATGAGAGACCCCAGAGAAACTCCTATCCATGATGGCATGAAGACTCCAATGCTCTACTGATTTTCAGCTTTTAAGATTTCTAGTTACGTTTGAGTATTAGTTTTTATGTTTTTTGTTAAGCCCTTTGAGACTTTGAGTATTAGTTTGGCATTTTGCTAATGTCAAAACTTTAATATTTTTGTATTAGGGGAATAAATTTTAAATATCATCCAACTTTATTATAAATTGGAGGGTCCCAATGACTATTCTGAGTCATTTTCATTTCGAAACACAGAGAAGTGAATGTAAGTCGTTATCCTTTTCCGAATAGAAAACCCTCATATCATCTTATACCAAATCAATCTTTTTATGTACTTTTTAGAAACCCCGATTTATTTTTGTCAAAGGCAGCTAGGAGAAGTGAGGTGTTGAAATGACTAAAATAATTTTGAACACAAATCATGTACAACTTATTCTAGGTTAATTTTGGAAAATTAGTATATGACAAAAATCACTTAAAATTTTAAGTCATAAAATTTTTAAAATGATTTATAAATTCATATAACATATTAAAAAATTTCAAAAAATTCATTGAGTAAATAAAGACTGCTGTCTGCGACAAGTATTTGGATTTATATGTTTGTCTGCCTCCATTGCCATCAAGGTTGAATAAATAAATAAAAAATATAGATTTCGTACTTTCAACCCAAACTTAAAAGTACGAAAAGAACATCGGCAGGTATTTGCTAATTTTTGTTTCAACTAAGAAAAAATGAGCACAGTTATGCTACAATCAAATACAGAGTTCAAATTTCCTGTAAAAAAAAAAAAATGATATTTCAAAAGGAACAATGAAGAGAGGATCTCCTATTCTCCAAAAATTGCTGCTATCTTCTGTCGCTTTTGACCTTTCCCACCACCATGACAAGAACATTGTGATTCGCACAGATGAAAGCACATAACCGAGTGATTTCGCTCCTTCAAGGCAGCTCCGTGTATGATTAAACGCCCGGTAAGCTTTGTACAAGTATACCAGAATCCCGAAACCAACGAACGCGCAAGTACAATCCATGAATGTGTCAGTTTGATCATTGAGGTGTCAGATGTCTGTAATATAAAAAATACTTGACGACTTCATACGAGGAGATGACTATGCCAACAGAAGGGCCGGCACGACCAACACGGGGAACAACTCCCATGAACAACCCCTTCATCCTTCCGTCCCTATTAAACACAAAAAAGTGCGAGGCCACGGTTGGTTAAAAACAGAGAAAAATGAACATTAATTTAGGGAACTGAAATCATGTGATTGATGGCTATATTGCGGTTAGAAGTCTCATATACCTCCAAATTTCAAGCAACGTTTTTCTTGTTGTCATCATCAATGCTCTTGCAGGATCCTTCTGCAAAAAGAGAACTGTTAAAATTCAAACAGTTCATCTTTTTAATTTTGGGTGCGCTTGAATCTCGTGAATAAGTTCGATAGCACATTTAGGATTGCTTCACCGTTTCTTTCAGTACAATGACAAGAAAGGAAAGGAAACAAAATCATGGTGAAGCTTATTTTAGAAAAATAACCTCTATTTGTCGTCGAGTTTTTGCCACATCAAGTGGACATGTAGCAGCAGCTGCAAGGCTTCCTGCAACAAATCCTGCAGAGAAATTTGCCCCGAGGACACTGGCTGCGCTGGGTTCATCACCTACCAGACCAAGAATTCTTCGCCTGATCTGCACAGAAGGGGCAAATGAACAAGTTGAATCAAGCTGTGTACACCTGCTGGTGCAAGGCGTAAAAGAAAATCAGAAGGTACGTTTTGAATTTTCTTGAAATATGTGACTCACTGGCTCAAGGGTTGACCAACAGATTGCAGAAAAAGGAACATCGCGGGTAAGTTGAGCCCCAAGGCCAGTCCACAAGAGGCGATAGTTTTGAACTGTTACAGAGAAAAAAGGAAGGCCATCATAATCTATTTTAACTAAAAGGCGACCTTATAACTATTCTCAGCGAAATCAGCTGCAAATCCAATTACTTATGACAGATGGAACAGCAGAGAATAAATCAAAACTAGAAGTAGGGAGTTCACATACAGTTTTGAAGGGGGGTTTTGTTCTTGACAGGGTCAATGACCCTATTCAGCGTCCCCCAAACTCCTGGAGGCTTCACACCGGCTTGAGTTTCCCGGAATGCCTACATTTAAAGAAGGGACAATGAGAAATTTCAATTTTGGGAGAAAAGAAAAGACAAACTTTATCATCCACATAGAATAGTTCTCCTTACATAATCATCAAGATTAGTAGTCAATACATGAATGACAGTTTATCAAGGATTTGGAAAACATGATATGGTATTTAAGCAAAATATATAGTTAGTCATCTTCTTGTCTGATGCTAATTGTATTTTTATGCCGCAGATTCTCAATAACAATTGTTATAATTTGAGGTCTGCAGAAAAGATAAACTAGGGCATCAAATCTACATATAAGATACCTGCATGCGCGTCCTTGCCAGCTCAACAGGGTAACAAGAAACGCAAGCTAAGGATCGTGCTATTGACCCTGCAACTAATGGCACATATGGTGTTATACTTGGAGCATTCTGAGTCGTGAAATCTTCCATCCAATTGCGGAAAATGTCATAACAAGGCATGTAGATCCCCACCTGATTGACAAATAGAAAAAGTAACTACTAGCAACATTACTTCCAGAACAAAGTGCATGGGATCTAACGCTGCAAGGAACCATTTAGATAAAAGAGGTAATCATTGGAAACAGGGAGACTTACAGTTGGCATGGCCAATGTTAAGCTTGCAGTAGTGCCTCTCCAGAGTCTCCAAAATCCTTCCTGCACCAATTTATTCCTGTGAAACCCCTATAATATTATTAAAAAGTTTGCCTACAAACTCAAAGACGATGACCTAAATATACAGATAGTCCCTTAATGGCGATACATTAGGCACATGGACAAGGCAACGAAAAGTGTCTTAACATGAAATTTACCCAGTTACTCTCTATCTAAGACTGTATACGATACTTTCAATCTGTCCGAAATTAATGAGAGAGAAGTGAATAGCTTTTATTATAAGGTTAATTAAAAAAACATATGCCTGGTTTAACCTATGAAACAAATATTTAAGGTCGACACTTCACATCACAATATGACAGGAGCACTCTATTTGACTGCAAAGGTTATTTAAGGATAGATTGAACTATAAACACAAAGGAAGACAAGTCACCCCTTTTTGGGACATGAATATACTACATAAACATAAATGTATGCATCCACTAACCTGGCGTATGACTTTGTACAGCACATCCAGTGTTCCTTTATACTGGTTACACTCTGGAGGGCAGACAGTCTTGGATCCAAGTATTGAGCTTGTGCGTGGCATGGAAGATCTCAAATCTGAAAGCATCTACAGACGATCCCAAAGCCAAAATGTAAGGTGCTTCAGTACAAGGAAAAATCCGTACATGAAACCGGCTAGCTATGATTCAATCTCAATGAAAGCAATTAAGAATTGAAGATGAACTCAATAAAGGAGGTACTACTAAACTAATGAACTCAATAAAAGAGGTACTACTAAACTAAGTAATCGAAAACCAGTTGTGTACATACCGCGTTTGATTCTGCGCAAGCCACATCACATAGCCCCTGATAAGGAACTCCAGCAGCCTGTGCTTGCAACCTTGTCTGAAGGCAACGCAACAAACAATGCATAACACCAATCAATTTCCATAACACAAACCTCAAGGTTAGAGAGCTTTCTAAACATGCAACCTTCACAAATGACTAAAATTTTCAGGCAAACACCAATCAGTTCAAAAGGGTAATTTCTAAACCAATAAAATTACCCTTTTACTAATTCACAACAGCAAAAATATATGATTTTTTCACAAGGGTTCTAAGAAGCATACAGAATCTCAATCACAGCATATGCAAAATGGGACAAAGTGTCCAAAAGATGAAGAAATGGACAAATTTAAATACAACGAATCCAAAAAAAGGAAGAGAAACAGCAGAACCTTGGCAACGTCAAGAGGGTTAACGAGAATCGCAGAGACGAAGGCGGCGCCGGCGGCGGATAAAGACCGCTCGCCAAAACCCAAATTGGCGTCGGAAACACGCATGGAATGGAACAATTTCTGCTGCTCTTTGGCTTCTCTGAACATGGTATCTACGTTTCCTTCGAAATCAACTCTGCTGGCGGCCGCCGTGGTCATCCACGAGGGCAGGCCGTGCCTTGAACCCACCATTTCCTCCTCCTCCTGGTCTTTGTCGGTCTGTCCTGCAGAATGTCTGGAGATTTATTTAATATATGGAAGAGAGAGACTGAAATTTTCATGGGGAAGACGCGAGAGAGTGCGTCATTGCGTATGTGTTCGATACTTCGATGTATAATTCGTGGCGTGGAGCAGAGGGCGCCAAACAAATTGGGGCTGCTGTGCTGTGGATGTGGATTCCAATGGGAGAAATTTGAGTGGGCTTTTAAAGCAGTTCCACACCTCAAAAAAATACCCTACCATCCAGCCTATTTAATCTATTCAATGAACAATGAATAAACAGTAATAGGCCAAATACATCTCCGTTCCTAAAAAATTAATCTAGTCAATTTTATTAAAATTTTATTATTTTTTATTATAAAATAATAAAAAATAATATATTTATTTTTAATTTCTACGAGAAAGACACAATGAAGAAAAACAGAGTCGCAAAATCCCTCGCATTCCACTTCCTCACCGTCTTCACTTCGACTCTCAAACTCTTGGCCCTCCTCAACGCGTCGACCTCCTTCAACAAATCGAACTCCAACCCCTTCTTCTTCAGCTCCTCAATACACTTTTCCAGCAAGTTCTTATCCTCATTTTCTCTCTCCAACAACTTCTCCAGGTGCCCCTCCGTGTCGCTTTTATACCTTATCGCCCAAATGATCCCCAGCAAGAAGCAGAGAGAACATTGCGACGGGATCTAGGACCTGCGGCACGTGAACTCGTGCGGGTCCTGCGACGAGGAACTGAAGAGAAGAGTGAAAGCTGTGGAATGGAAGAGGAAGAAGAAGATGAAGAGCATCGTGATCTCCTTTTGAACCGAGTCGATTTGGGACTCCTTGATATTAGGATTTCAACTTGCTGACATCATACGGGCTCGTCCATGGCTCTGTCAATTTTGGGCTAGCCTGGAGACCAGCTTGGACTGGGTGCCAGCCTATTTGTTAGGTTGGAGTGGAATGACTGGGTGCCGGGCCAATAATTTGGCTGGGTGCTGGCCTATTTGTTCCCCGGTGGAACTGCTCTTATGACTTATTGTATTTGGGTTAAAACTGAGGACATATTCACTCTTTCGTATTCAAGCATTGAATAATTTGATTTCACTCGTGCTCAAATTTTGATGTAATTGATTTACTATTTAATAGTCAGATACGTATTATCTCTTTTTTATTCTATATTGATAGTTAAATGATAAATGCACGTAACATAATTGTGCTTCTTTAGTTCCATCATTTTTGGAAAACCCTCCCTCTAAAGTAATTCCATTTTCTCTAATTGCACGTTTACGTAAGGGTAATGAGAATCAACAAACGAAATTGAATTCCTATTATGGATTACTCCGATGTTTACTAAATACTGGGGAATCAATAGTGTGGTGGACCCCACCCGAAAAAAGGAATGCAATTCATGAAATTGGAGGAATGGGATTCCCTGGATAGATGAGGTATTTGAATTCTAGGAGGGTGAGGGAATCAGGAATGCATTTTTTCTTCCTATTATGCCCTCATTCACATTATGCACAACTCCATGCATATACCAAAGAGAAGAAACTACAATTTGAGCGATAAAATTTAAATATTAAAGTAAATACTTAAATTTATAAAAAAAATAAAAATAAACAAAAGCATTATAGTGTGTCTATGAAATAAAAAGCAGTTTAATTTTTTTTTCTTACTATTATATATTATATCAAATTTCATTAAAAATCTATATACAATATTTGATTTAGTATAAGGGCATTTTAATAATCATATTAGTTTATATTCTGATTCTGCTGAATTAGTAAATAGCTTTATGGAATTAGTGTCATTTCTATTTCGATTTCATAACATTTAAGTAAACAGCTTCAGTAGGAATTCGATTCTGACTTCTCCTCATTCCAACTTCTCATCAATTCAATTCCTCTTATTTTCATTACGGTTACGTAAACGCGCCGTAAGTGTAATGTTTACTCAATGCATGCTATCTACAGTCAACTTAGTTGATTTTGGTCATTGATTAGTACCTTTGTCCAGTTTTTATGCACAGCTTGGATTATTGAAAACTAAATTCATCTCCAATCGAATAAGTTAAGGCATCTTCAATGAGAATGGATAAAGGTCCAAAAGTAAAAAAAAAATGGTTAGAATTGTCTAAGACCATCTCCAAAGGAGACATCAAATCCTAAGTGGAATGTCATGTAATTAAATTTGAAGGTAGGAGCAATCTCCAACCGATATATCAGTACTATGTGGATTGACATATGAGTTTTCATATGTCAAATTTGACAGAAGAGAAAAGGTGATGTCAAATATTTTTTTAATTATTTTATTATGTAGGTCTCATTAATTGACACATCCCGACCGAAGTCGAGACGTGTTGGCCGTCACGTGAGAGTGACGTAGCCATGTGCATAAGGCGGAAGTGATAAAAAGTAAGAGAAAAACTAACAATTTAAAACCAATCAACTAACAATCCCAATAAGAAAGGATGTGAGGATTTAAGTATATACATACACTTTCAGAGCAAGAAGAAGGTCTAGTTGCAGTCAAGGGGACGATTGCTAAATACAACACCCGAAGGTGAATCCTGCATTTTCGGATTCTGTCAGAACACCGTTGGATTCCTCGTGGCCACCAAACTCTGCTATCTAAGACCTGGAGGGGCAAAAAAACAAAGTTGAGTGGGTCAGTAAAACACATTTACACGAAAACCTTATTTTCATTTGAATATACTAACCCCTTGCCGTAAAACAAGTATATGATTATTTTCCCAGAAATTAGAATACATAAATAAGTATATAAATATATCATTTCAATTCAATTCATGCTTTACACATTCATAAACATATGCATGCCATGCCAATATATAACAAAGTACACAATTCAGGTAAGAATAATTTCATAGAAATATGATATGTTAGCCGGAACCCCTGGGGTGGTCTGTACGGCTGAGTTTATAACTCAATAGTCAATTTAGCCGGAGTCACTATAACGACCTATACGACAATATATTGCACATAAGTCGGAACCACTGAAAAGGGTCTGTACAACAAGGTTGGGTGTAATATAATTATGCTCAATTCTACTCTCTCAATGCTAGATGTGTGATAATACATTAGTCACCTACGAGTCGGAACCACTTATAGTGGTCTGTACGACAAGACTGTACACCTAATTGGATCCAATGTGAGCATATGGTGCGGGAGGTGACATAATATACGGGCATGTGCCAGCTCTCTCTGGCTAAATCGCAATCACCATTGGTGCAAGTTTATGAGCTAACGCTTCTCAATCGAATATCGCATCATCGATGATTTACATAACCAAACACAACTTACCTGAACTTACATGGACCTCCACAACACCACATTTATATATATAAGGTATCACACATCAATTCATGTACGAAACATAATTGTATATGCATGGCATTTAAATTGCATTTCCTTTAAATACGTTTTCTGGGAAAAACGTCAAGTGTATATATATATATATATATATATATATATATATATACTGAAAATAACTGCCCACTCACTGAGATGTCAATGGGTCGTAGCCCCCGAGCCTCAATTGATTACGCTCCTCCCGAGAATAGGCCTCACCTATAGGCGTAATAATCGAATAAAGGTTATTTAACGCACATAACCAACAATAGATAATAACTTTTCATATATTGCTCAAATTGGGTATATGAATATACCACAGTGACCTATACAACCTCAGGATCATCCCCAAATTTTTAGATAAATTTTTGGAAGCCTCACGCGCCCCCACGCGCCGACAATGGCACAGCCAGACGCGCCCCCCATGCGCGGCCATGTGCCAGGCACATTGACGACATCAGTTAACGCTGTTGGAATATTCCGTCAGACTTGACGGAATATTCCATCGTCTTCTTCTTCAAAACTCCGGCGACCATCATCGGCGCCGAAAAACTGGAAAATTTTCTAACTATGGTTTCTTCTTCATTTTTGCACCATTTTCTACGTACTTTATACCAAAATGAAGATCTCACAAAGATGAACACAACCGTACCTGGCTTGACCTTCGACTTGTCGGAAATTGGCCGGAAAAAGCCTCAATAATTCTGGCCAGATTTGAAACTCTCCGTTCTCACTATTCCGAAGTCCAAAATCTTCAAACGAAGTACTCCGAGCTTCGTAAGGACCTCCTTAAACTCCCTATGTCCTTTAAATTCCCTAAAATTCAACATTTTACGTGAGCATGAATAGTACCTCAAATCGGGTTTTGTGATTCGACGTGAAATCAAAGGTAATCTTACCTATATTTGGTACCTTTGAACTCGTGAGGACCATAGGAACACCATGGTACCATTTTCTTCTTCTATCTGCCATGTTTGTAAGGGCTTCTGGTTGTGTCCGTACAAGAGAGAAGAGAAAGAGAGAGTAAGTCTGAGAGAGAGAGAGCACGGGAAGGGGAGAGAGAGAGAGAGAGAGTGGGTAGGTGGGTGTGTGTGTGGTCCAAAAGCCACCAACCAAAACTAAGAAAAAACTTAGTTCTAATTGAGTCACCAATCCCAAATACTTACACCAAAACATATCATACACGCATCATTCAATGTCCGAGGGTATTTCCGTCTTTTCACGTCAATAAGAATTATTTTTCGGGACGGGCTATGACATTAATGCACCAATTATAGATCTTGAAAATTTATTTTAATTGATTTCTTTTTAAAATGTATCCTACAAATATAATTTATAACTAAAAAAATATATCGGTTGGAAAAAGAGAAATTTTGACATTGTAATGTTAGTCATCAAATTAACATTTGGCATTTATCTTTTGACCTCTCTATTGAAAATGCTCTAATAACCCTCTCCAATCAACAGGCCATGTTTCGGACAAAAGGACATCAGACTGATAGTACCTAAACTACCCTTATTAAAAACCCAACTAATTAACCAAACATGCCCTTAATTATTAAAAATCAAAACCCTAACCAGTCCATCTTCTCCATTTGTCTCTCTGTGTAAACCTCTTTCTATCTTCCCCATCCACTTTTCCCTAGTCATCCTAACTTCCTGTATGTATATTTACTTTACAAGTCTTTTATGCTTACTGTTATGAATCTTTCTAAAGAGTTAGTCTTGAAAATGGAATAAAGAAAATTAGGGAGTTATAAGTACTTCTTTCGGACCCTAAACACCATTGACACTGGCGGATTTGCATTTGCACTGGAGAAACTCTCCTATT